CTTTCCAGAAAAATTTTATTAATCCCTGAATTATATTATACATGATACTAAAAACTTTCTTTTGTCATTAAATATCATATCATGTTGAGTCTTCAAGATTTCAAGATTTTCTTAATTTCTTTAAATGAATACAAAATAAAAATGCACATAAAATTATTAAACCATTTGCAATGGACTGAACGTTTATCCCCTGTCAAAATTCAAATGCTGAACTCCTGACCCCAAGGTGATGGTATTAGGAAGTGGGGCCTTAGGAAGTAATTAGGTTATGAGAGCAGAGCCTTTATGAATAAAATTAGTGCCCTTATAAAAGAGACCCTTAGAGCTCATTAGCCCCATTCACCATATGAGGTTGCAGTGAAAAAGATAACCATCTAGGAAGCAGGCGCTCAGCTGACACCAGAGCTACCAATGCCTTGATCTTGGATTTCCTAGCCTCCAGGACTGTAAAATTCCTGTAGTTTATAAGTCCCCCAGTCTATGGTATTTCATTATAGGATCCTGAAAGGGCCAAGGCATCATTTCTCTCCTGCAGAAAAGATCATGTCCTGTACCAAATTATTCTCAAAATAGCTGGGATAAGGTATTTATCTTCTAATGGATATGAAAATGACCTACATTTTAGTGGCCCAGGTACCTGAACTTTGAAGTGTTTTATGACTGTCTCTTCCCTTGGCAGCTCAGTAACCACCCAGCATTCATTCTGAGTCACCGTTAGGTAGATGTGGCATAGAGTTTACCGAGGGACCCATCTCTCACTCTTTGTAACTACCCTACCCCCTTCCTCACTTGGACCTATTATACAGCAACTTCCGTTCTTTCACAAAGAGTTGGAAAAGTGGTCTAGTAGCTACTACCCTTTCCTTGTCCCCCTATAGTGGACACTGTAGTGTGCAACCAGATCCACTCCTCTTCAAGATTGAGGCTTTTGGCACCTCCTGACTTTCAGTTGTTTCTCTCTTTGGGAATTGCCTTCAGCTGAGCAAAGCCACCTTGTCCAATGGCATGACCCTTTCTCAGAGGCAGATTACAACCAATAACTGGTCAATGCAGGAATGTCAAAGGTCAACCCTCTTGACTCAAGGAAGGACAGTTGTGAAGGACACACCCAAGAGCTACTTGTAAAATTAATGTCTCTGTTGAACTTCATCAGCGAGACTTCTCTTTCTGCCCAAATCTTTCATCCCATAAAAATGTTGTTCTGATTACATTATCCCCTCAATTGTCTGCAAGCCATCTGAGACTTAGAGTCTGTTTCCAGGGGAAATTGACCTCCCACACCCCTCTCTAACTCCTCCCAAAGGAAGAGAGATGTAGTATTTAATATTATGTCTGAATTTCAGAGGAGAAAATTACCACTTAAGGCTCAACTCCTTCCACTCTCTTTTTTTTGGGCCAGGCCCCATGCACGGAAGTACGTGGTCCTCTTGCTACTACTTTTTGTAGGGTAAATACACAAGGGCCATGTCAGATTATATTTTTCAGAGGCAAATCTGAGCAATCATCAATCTCCTTTCACAGTGATGGTGCTCTAAACTGTGTGACAAGGGAGATGTCCATGGGAATCATCTCTGAAGTTCACATTTTCCCAGGGATTGAATATCCCAGAATCTAAATTTAGCTGAAAGTATTAAGAAGTCCAATTACAGCATTAAGCCTAATCTAGGATCTCCAATTCCACCTGATCAATGGTTATGCTAATAATTTTATTCTTATCTGCTTGATGCCTTTGTTTTCTCAATTGGGTCAAAACTTATAAGATAGGGATGAATTGTGATCATTGTCCTAAGTCCACACTGACAAAGAATAGAACTACATACATTCAATAGGGAAACCTTCCTTCCTCATTATTTATTAACCATCTTAACAGTTTAATTTACCTAATCTTACCTAATTTACCTATTATTTACACAGAAAGATGTTACCCCAGTAATCTCTTAGAGAGGGACAGGTCTTAGTTCAAACCTCAGCTTGGACACATAACAATGCAATTTAAGCAAGTAGGTTTACTGAGCCATATTTTCCTTATTTTTAAATGAATCTAAGAAGATTCATCTTAGATTTAGCTTAAGAATTAAAAGCAATTGTGAATATGTGTGTGTGTATATACATATACATACATGTAGATATAAAAATTACCTTGGTAATGTTTTATATTTATATTGTGAGTAATAAATATTCATTCATAGCTCAGTAAGTTTCGAGAATTATATCTAAATGGGTCGTTTCAAGATTTTTCATAGAGAACAAAAATCTTTTCTTGTCCACTTCTTAAAAACAGGATGATGACTTTTCATCATGATGAGACTATTTCAAGCCAAAATTCTGAACGAGTCAGTGAATCAAGCTCGCAGCAAAGTTAACAAGTACAAAAGTAGGCAAAAAAAATGACAGAGAATTAGAAACAGAACAACAAGCAATCACATCCACTTCCCCCTTTATTGACAGAATTCATAAATGGGAAAACATTCCTCTTGTCTGCTCAGAGCATTGTTACTCTGGCTACACAGGTATCTTATGAAATAAGAAGAGCCTCAAGGGACTGTTTGCCCATGAAATTGACTACCATACTGGGTCTCTAAGATCTGGCCCCAAGCATCAAACAACTCACAAATTGCCTTTATTCTGTTAGCATCCAGCAAAGGAAGAAGGGGACTCTGTGCTGGCTAGGCCCATTAAACACTCTTCTCCTGGACAGGGAGAAACAAATCCCCTAATATTCTATCTAGGAAAGCAGCATGAGCCCAGAGTCTCATCAGGAAGCTGACATGTGGGAGGCAGGACAATGATCAACTTCGGAAAGCTCCATGGAGAACCGTTAAATAAGATAAGAATATCCCACTCATGTCAGGACAAGAGCAACGTGATGCTAACCATTTATTACTCTGGGGATTTTTCTGTTGTGAACCAGCACTGGATTAAAGATCCTCCACACTCCAGAAAAACTAAGGAAGAAAAGAGTTTCTTTAAACTTCTAGAAAGAATGTTCCAGTATGTCACAAAGTGTTCTAGCAAAAGAACCTGGGATTGGAGGTGGAGGTGGGTGACTTTGGAATGTAGACTCTAGGGATGTAATCATTGACTTGTTTTGCCTTTTTAGCCTTTGATGCCTGTGATTTCATGAACTCAGAACTATTAATACTATTAATATGACTAATCTGGTCCGAAAATGAAGCTCAGACATTTAACACCATGACCTTCAGAACTAGTGAATTCCACGGAGGAGATGAATGCTCTGTGAAGAAATGTTTTCCTCACTACTTTTTTCTAAATCTGTTCAATATAAATTTTATAGTAGTCTTTTAAGTCTTGTGTTATTTAAATCAGAGTGAAAGAGAGAGAGAGAGAAGGAGGAGAAAGAGGAGGAGGAGGATAAGGAGGAGGAGGAGAAAAGCAAGAGGAGGAGCAGGAGGAAGGGAAAAAAGCAAAGGCCAGAGAAGGAAGGGAAGGGAAAGAAAGAAAAGGAATGAAAATCCATTCTTTTAGAATATATTCCCTAGTTCTTTTTCAAAAGGCTGGACTATAGACTATATTCCAGAAAGCATTTTGTTTTATATGTCATAAATAAGGCTTAACAAAAAAAGGAGAGAAAGAAATTCGCTGAAGCATACTATTTCTGAATTATATTAATATTAGGCATTACACATGGTATAGAGTACAGCGACATGGGAGATTTAGATAATGTATTCAATTCTCTGTAAACATAAGGTACAAGAGATTTCAGTTCAAAGGAACAGATTACTAACCTAAGAGATGGGAGAAAAGTTCTGAGACCTTCCTCAGACTGTTTTCTGCAGGAATGCAGGAATTACTGCAAAATGGTTAGGTTCTATAAACATATTCGCAAAGCCTAACTTTACAGATAAGAGAAAAACATTTCAAAAAGCATTTCAAAAAATAATCCACCATTTTTAAAATGACTTTTTCTTCTTTTTATGGAAAGGAGGAAATCTACTAGCTCACCTGTATCAAACCCCACACTTGGCACTATGTCCACTGTTCCATGAAAGGCTCCGGCCCACGCTGAGGTAGCAGTGGTGACTGTAGTTGGATCTGTCTTTGTGATGTCACACTGGGGAGCAGGAATCCTGGCCGTGCACACTGATGGCATCAGCAGGGGCCCATAGGACGGATCCAGGGCAGAACCAGCAGGAGGGTGGTGGTGGTGGTGGTGGTGGTGGCGATGGTGCATGTGGGCATGGGGGTGGTGGTGTCGCATGTACACATCATGCATGTGGCTGTAGGATGGGCTCACCTGAGATGCCAAAGGATAGTGCCAGGACTCGGACGCGGGAGGGGGATGGGCAGGGCCAGTCTGATGCAGGCCATGTCCTGGCCAGGGGCTGGGGTCAGCTGCAGAAAAGGTGCCAGGGGTTGCAGTGACCTGAAAGTCAGGATGAACTCCCCCCAAACAGGGTGCGGGTGGGGGCTGGTAAGAGCTGGTCCAAAAGGAAGCTGGGAAACTACTCCGCTGGCTTGAGAGAGCTGAGCTGTCTGAGAAGAGAGAAAAAAAAATGTACATGAGATTCAGTTCTGGGATAGACTTGCCTTTACTTGTCCAATAATATTTTGTAAGCAGGCGAATTAACATGCACTTCTAATCTCCCCACACAGGGGTGAATTGATACCAGGTCAGCCTCTGTGCTGCCGCGCTGAGTCCATGAGCCGATGCGTTAGTGCTGAATGAGCCCCCCTCCCCCACCCCCACTCCATTTGCTTTGCTTAGCCTATTCTGTCCCAGTCTGTGCTGAGGTTTATAATTTTGGGATTGAAAAGCCTCATTTCTTCCTGGGTGTCTTGCAGCCATCAGATCTGAGTGGAGGTCATAGCTACCCACTTCCCTGGTAAAGAAAGCTATGCCATAGATGAGGTTTATGCAGTTTAGAAATTGTAGTTTTTACCAAACTTCTTCTAAATGAAAATACAATTTTCATTCAAACTAAACATTTTGATGCCAAAAGTAACAAATGGAAGTAAGATCACACTTAATTATGCTCATTTTCCAACACTCATTTTCCATTAAGAAGGGTGAATTCTAATTTTTTTTCTGTAGAGATCTGGGAGTGTCCAGACTGAGAATAATAACGGTTAACATTTAATGACAGTGATCAAATGCCCAACACTAGGCCAAGGGCTTTTCCTGGATGATCTCATAGGATTCTCTCTCCAGTCCTATGAGGTAGTTATTGTTATTAGCCCCAATTTAGAGATGAGGAAATCAAGGCAGAGAAGAAGCCTGAGACTCAGACTGGCAATATGAGATTGGGCTTTGACGCCAGGTAGTCCGTTCACTGGCCCATGACTGACACACTTCATAATGTGCCACAAGAGGGCACAATTGCAACTATAACCTGAACTTCTAGAATTTGGTGAAGATTCTATGGTAATCACAAGTGGAGGAGATTCAAGTAGAGGCAGAAGGTTTGAGGGAGTGTTTGGGGGAGAGAGAAACATCGAAGAATGGCATTTAGGGGTAAATGAGGGAAAAAAAGGGAGAATCTTCCCCTAACTCTGCATCAATTCCATTTCTCCACTCAATCATCATAACTTATCGATGGCCTACTGGTACCAAACGTAGAGGAGTCAAGGATGACCAGGGAGACATCGCTTCTAGTCACAATCTGCAGAAGAACCTATAAGTAAATAGACATGTGCAATGTGACGTGAGGTATTCTCACAATAGGAAGCACAGAGTGAGAGCATGGAACCAGCCTAAAATAGTGCTGACTATGTCAAGGCTGAAAGGATGAGTAGGAGCTGGCCTTGTGAAGACGTGTGGGAGAGAGTTTTAGGCAAATGGACCAGCATGTGAACAAAGTCCATATCTCACACACACAGCGCCTGCAGCAGCAGCAGCATTTGAGAGACAAAGAGTTCAGTAGGCAGAAGGCAGCAAAAAAGAAAAAGAAAATGAGGCTATAGAAATAAAAAGGGCCCAGATAGATAGGTGTGGACTTGCTGGTGATGGTACTGAATGTGTGCTCTATCCTGAGGGGGTCCCAAAAAGCTTTGAAGGGTTTTAAACTTGGAGGTGACATAGATCTGTGTGTAGAAAGCTCAATCCCTCCACCTGTAGCCTGCTGCCTACAGTGCTGTGTACTGGAACAAGCCCTGGCCCGGGAAACTAAGGAGTTCAGCTTTGGTTCAAGCTCTTACCCCATCTCATTGTATTACCCTGAATGGACCCACTCATCTTCCCGGCTAACTTTCACCCAAAAAGGAGGCATTTGAATTCATTTGATTCACATCATCTTCTGGTTTAATACTTCTATGATTCTGTGAAGCGTCCTATGGATTATTTCTATCGCTATATAAAGATATGGTTGCTGCAGACATTAGTCACACGTGTACGAGATAGTATTTCCATACTGTGTTCCACATAAAAGGGCCTTACTAGATCTTTCCATTGAATGAAAGATATCTTAAGACATACTCTGAATTAAAAGTATTAAAAAGTCTGACATATTTACGTTCTCACTTCATAAATTTCCAGGACATACTTTTCTTGCCTCAGGGAAAGCTTAGAGAACTTGAATTGACTACCACATATATCATCTGGCTAACAAAATTAGGTAATCACTGTGGTGTTCAAATATTTTTTCTCTCTACCTTCTTTAAAGGCTGTGGTACTAGCATTGCCAGCTCTTCTATTCTCTCCTCTTCAGTCCTGCCCCAGAGCCATCATCATTCACCCCATTCAGCCTGTGGACAAACAGCTATTCACTGTCTCGCAGTCAAGTCTGTCCCTCACGATATCTCCATGGATCTCAAACACTTTGAGGAAATCTAGGAAATGGTGTTCTTAAAGAGGCAAAAGATGGAAATGCACACTCTTCAAATCTTCAAACAGTCCCAGAAAACTTTTAATTGAATGACTTTGTTTTGTCACAATCAAAATCTATCAAAAAAAAAAACACTTAAAATCAAACTTACTGGCATTGGGGTAAATACGTTTTAGTTAACAATTGTCACTTTTTTACCTGAAAAATGTTGCTCATGACAAGAAGGAAAATTGTATAAGTTGTAAGAAGAAAATTCAATTTGCCTTAGGTGAGGGCCACTTGTAGACTATTTCTGTCACACCCACAATGAAAGCCGTCAATGAATGTTTAAAGCTTAAAACCCACACAAGGAGTTTATAGAGGCTCCTTATATTACCATAATTCAGCTTTGCCACTTTCAATCTGCCACTTTGCTTTCACAACTTCCATTGCTGGGACCAAACCCTTCATTCTGCTCTTGACTTCTATCTCCTGAAGGGGCCAGAATCATATCGTGAAAACCATTGAACTCCAACCCACAAGTATGTGCCAGAGAGAGAGTTTCACTTATTAAAATTCTCCATTAAAATGTCAAAATACAGGGAGTACATACCATCGCTCCTTTTATTTCCTTTCATTTTTTCTCATTTTTATGTACATGGAACCAATCTTATTTTATTGAAGCTTATGCATTTTGGATATGCATGCACAAATGTGAATAATTAACAAATTCTCTACCAAAAGTATTATTGGTTTATTTATGAATATTGTACTGTGATTAGTGAACACATTATTATCAAAAATGGAAATCTATTTTTGAAAATGCACTCTATAAAGATTGAATGAAGTTTTAAAATACTCCAGGGAAAAATAAAATTAGAAGCAACTTAATATGTTCCCAGTCAGTATGTCTCCTGGGATTAATATAAATTCTGCAGAGATCTATGCAGGCCTTTTCAGAAAAACTGTTACATTTCACAAGTAAGTGAAACAATATTGAATTGAAAATATGTTTATGAAGACATTTATATTTCAGAATCACTATTTGGTATCTTGCTTGTTTAAAGAAAAAAAAAAACTTGATACAAAGAAACAGATGATATGCTTTGTTTCATGCCTGAGAATCAATGTGCTTATTTCATATGTATGTAAATTTTTTTCATTACATGACTCTTTGCTTATGAGTACTTAATCACAGCCACATTTGTTGGATGAAAAAGCATATGAGAAACTACACGAGCTATTTCTATGCAATATTACTTTTCAGATTAGTGGAGGCAATAGAGAACTGATGATATTAACACTCCATGGTGAGTTTGGATTTAATATTACTTGATATTTGGGTGATGTTAACCAATATTTGGATGATGTTAACACTGATAGTCTAACATGTATGAAAAGTCTAAATATAATATGGCTCAATTTACATTTGGAATTAAAAATATTACATACACACATTTATTTCTAAACAAACAAAAAAAATGAAACATTTCCCAATACAACCTACTCAAAGCAAACACAGTAATCTCACTATCTGATTTAGATCAAAAATATATCTTAGAGGCATGAAAGAGTTTAACATGGCACACCAAGTATTTTTTTTCAATTTCATAGAAGCTAGGATAATTTTACATTGACCTTAAATGTCTCTCTGGATAAGCAAAACAAAACAATGACAAAAACTAAGGGCAAAAATTTTAAAAAGAGAAAATTCAAAACTTGAAGAATTAAACATTTTATATTTAATTTTAAAAATAATGAAAATGGTCTTAAAAGGAAAAATGGGACAAGGAAATATTGTAGAACCTTGATCTTAAGCTATCTTAAAAATCTCTAGAAAACACATTCTTAAATATTGATTAAAAACATCAATGTTAAAAGATAATATTTTTTCCTTTTTATTAACTTTGGTAAAAAAAATGTACTCAATTCTTAACCTAAAGTGTTCTTGCTGTAATTTAATTCTCATTCTCTTGTTGCTCTTCCCATGAAAATAAATTGTTGGGTGACAGGTTAAATGACATGAGTTCCGATGTTTTCTGTCATTCAGTAATTATGCATTACCGTCATGTCCAAAGATTGCCCTCTAGTTATTACGCTTTCTTCTAGAGTTGCTCAAAATGGGCTTGTGACTGTACAATGAGAGTTTCAAGGGGTGATATCAGATGCTGATACTCCTTTGAGGCAGTGGGAATGAGGTAAGTCAGGCCTCACTTTCTTCCCACGTGTTTGTCCTAAACTTCCTAAAAGTGATAACTTCAGTGCCTCTGGAGATTCCACTCAACTCTCTAACTCCTTCATTCCCAGTCTCAACCAGTTTATGAAACAGGCCCACCTTTTCCTGCCTCGGTTTTGCTATTTAAACTTGGTACTGATTTTGAGAGCCCTTTCCTATGAGAATGAGTTGCCCCAAGCAGACCATATGGAGATCAATGAACTAACAGATAATTTGCTTTGCAGTTACAACAAGAAAAAAATATATATATATCAGTAAGATTGTCATTCCACACGGTTTTAAGTCAGTGATCTACTTTACTATGGCTTGATTTAACTATACGTCTTTTCTACACACACCACACATACACACATATTCTGTAAAGATCAATATATAGACATATCTGAAGCCGATGTTTTTATTTGTATGGGGATAAGGGAACAATCAGATTCATTAGGTTTGTTTAACTGAAAGGCTCTATTCAATCCCTGTTAAAATCTCTAGCAGGATTAGACTGGTGAGATGTTTTACTAAATAATGTACAAATATTTTCCGTCATTAATTGTTTGCCTAATAGCTGCAAAACACCAAGAAAGAACTTTTAAAAAAAAAATCTCCATCAAGAATACATATGTTCAAGTTATGATCATTATTCCATTATTAGCTGACACGTACTATCTTTTGTCTAAAGATTTGCTGTGGAAATATATTCTGCTATCAAATGTGTAAATTCATTTGTAGCACTGTAGCACTTCTGTAACATTGTAATAACTTCATGCTATAAACTAGAACTCTTACTTTAATACAACTGGTCAGCCAGTGGCTCCTCTATAAAGTATCGTTGCCATTGCCCTCAACATTATCAATAGCCTTTAGTGCTTACTATATCCGAAACACTCTGTTTTATACCAGAAACACAAACTTCTGGAAAACAATGTTTCTGAATAAAGACTCCAGGTTTGTTTTCTATGTGTCAAATGAAGGGGAAAAGAGAAAAAGCATCTGACTTTCATTTAGCACCTCGAGTCAAGCTCTGTGCTAAATTATTCATGTACATTATCAAAAAATTCTTTACAATAACTCTAGGAGATGGGTATCAATAAACACATGTTACAGTTGAGGAAGTTGATCCCAGAGAGATTTGAGGTTATTAATCCAAGATCACATTGCAACTAGAAAGTAATAAGGCCAGGACTTGAATCCAAAGCAAACAGCCTCCATAGACTGCATTTTCCAACCCTGTGTAGCTTTGCCAATTAATATTAAATTCTCTCTAAATCTCTTCACTAGACATGTCAATCTTACTATACTGTACTTCTTTAAGATATTTTCTATATCTTTGTTTATATTTTGTGGCTCTCCTATGAATCCTGCTGAAGTTCTGTATATATGTTTATCTAAAACTGACTAATTCACAACTACAGACAACTATAGCAGATTTCTGTTCACAAATGAAAAATAAATAATACATTTATTTATTTATTTTTGAGACAGAGTCTTACTCTGTTGCCCAGACTATAGTGCTGTGGCATCAGCCTAGCTCACGGCAACCTCAAACTCCTGGGCTTAAGCGATCCTCCTGCCTCAGCCTCCCGAGTAGCTGGGACTACAGGCATGTGCCCCCATGCCCAGCTAATTTTTTCTATATTTTTAGTTGTCCAGCTAATTTATTTCTATTTTTAGTAGAGACAGGGTCTCGCTCTCGCTCAGGCTGGTCTCGAACTCCCGAGCTCAAACGATCCGCCCGCTTCGGCCTCCCAGAGTGCTAGGATTACAGACGTGAGCCACCGCATCCAGCCAAATAATACATTTAAATCACAGAACTTTTACATAAGGAAAGATTTTAACAATTACTTAATATAACGCCCTGATGTTAGAAATAAGAAAACTGTATCCAAAGACTTCATACAACTAATTACCAAGAAATTCTCTATTAAAGACTTTTTTTGTTTTCTAATTCTGGGAATATGGTATGAACTTGTTTCATTTAATTCAGTCATTTAAACATTCAATTTGTATTTATTTCAGACTTTCCACATGTAAATGCATTATTTTGAGCATCAGGGAAAATGGCATGTGATAACTAGATATGAGATTTGTAGCCTTAGTGGGAGAAGAAGAGATGGGAATTGAAGGGCGTGCTATATTCTCCTGGGAAACTTTGGTAAACTACCATACAAAGTTTTAAAACATCTGTTCTCCATCTATCACTTTTCATGTCACTCCACTCACACAGCATTTTGATTTCCCATTGAGCATTCTAAGCTCAATCCATCTTCAGGGCCTTTGCACTGGCCGTTCCCTCTGTGAAGAATTATTAATACTTTTCCTTAGATGGCCACATGATGAGGGTTCTTATTTCCCTCAGGTCTCTGGTCAAAGGTAACTGTCTCAGAGAGGGCTTTCATTATCAATTTAAGTAAAAAACACCTTGCATGTCATTTTTGTTTGTTTGTTTATTCCTGTCTCTACCAGTAAAACTTCAGCTTCATGAGTATAGAGCCTTGGGCTGTCCCACTTACTGATACAGTCCCAGTGCATAGAACATTGCCTAACTCATAGTAGGAGCTTATTAAATATTTGCTGTGTAAGTCAACGAAGGAAATAGGAGACAGATTTAAAAACCAAATTTAAGATGATGCCAAGAAAATTCTAACAATAATTACTAAAAGATTACCATTGTTCATCCTTTCTATACTAAAATTTGACATCTGTTCAACAGTCTTCTCTAATATGTCACACAATTCATGGGGAAAATACTGAATTGTTATAGGGTTTTTGCACATACACAACATCCTATTAAAATTATTCTGACTATGATACTATGATACTATAGATGAGAAGTCTCATACCAAGATATAATTTGTGGCCCTAGTTCCATTTTCCAGGTTGTCTATGTCAGTATGTGAAAGGAAGTAGACGTTGTATTTATTACTTTCCTGGAACTGATTATCCTGATAAAATTTATTATTGACATACCAAATTAATTATTAAGGCCATCTAATTGACTGACATTTTCTTTTTTCTTCTCCATAAATTCTTCAAATTATTCACCATGTGCTATAAAATGGGACATTAGTTGATTACATGAACATCTTAGGCTTCCAAGGACTAAGTCTCAGTTCCTGTAGGAAGTCCATAATATTTACTAATCAAATAAGTAGTATTTTTTCTAATTCACTTCTACCAAGGCCTTGGACATTAGATTTGTATTCCACCTTCCCTTTTTGGTCACTGTTTAGTGTTGTTCATATTTACTAAAAAGAAAAGGAAGGAATAAAAGAAGGGAAGGAGGGAAGAAGAGAAAGGAAGAAAAGCATTGTATCTACAGATCATGCCCAGCAATCCAATATGGCCAGGACCTCCTACAATGGAGCAGAATCATTCCTCCACTCCTGAGAGTAGACAACTAGCCACAGTTCCTGTGCCTCCTACCACAAGCGGCCAGCTTTTCCTCACCAAGGAATCACCCAGGGCAGTTGTTAAAGTGTGATTCCCTGTCCCTCCATCCGGAGATTTCAGTTCAATATATTTGAGGTAAGGGGGGCCTGCCAACTGTCTTTAATAGCACTAGATCAATGATTATCAAACTTGAGCCTGCATCTGCGTCACCAAGAGGGCTGATTAAGACACAGATTACCCCACACCAGAGTTTCTGATTTAGGAGGTCTGGGGTGGGGCCCCAAAATGAGCACTTCTACCAAGCTCCCCTGTGACGCTAATGTTCCTGGTCAGCGAAACCACACTTCCAGAACCATTGTACTAGGTAATTCTTAGAACCAGGTGAGTTTGGAGGAAATAATTGCAACAAATTTCTCTGAAGCTATCATTGGAATGATGTATTTTTTCCTCTAACCTTGTAATTATCATGATTAATACATCACCCAGTGATTTTCTGCAGCTAGAAATCAGATTCAAAGACATCTCTGTGACCTCCATATGAAAGGAAATAAAGAAGAGGCGGCCAACGTACTGCTTTTTCTTTACCGAGGTAAAAACACTGGTTTAAACGATGTAGATGCAGTTAACAATTCTTAGATTGTACACCACAGAGAGTTAATACTGCAACAAATCAGGATGGAGAAGGCTATCGAGAGAACACAGAAGGCTTCCAAAGCGTATATTCCTGGGTCAGACTAGCATCTCTGCTATGTCACCACGTAGCACTTATTGGAATGAGCAAGAGCTAATTTTTTAAAAGCTGATTTAGGCATGCCTATTATTTAGAGATCCAAATTAGGCCAGCGGGGCTTTAGGAATGGTGCTTCACAGCTCAATCTGGCCACTATAAACTCAAGCGGGTTGTATCACTACTTTCCAAGAGGAATTTAAGGGGTGTGACTGCATCCTTTCCAATCCTGCATTCCACATGTGACAAAACTGATCCAGCTGTTTGTCTGAAAGAAATTCCTTGCTGTCCTTAAAAATTAAAAAGCAAGTGGATATCCGTCCTCCAGGGGCAAGTCTCCAGCTGGAACCTGGTACAGGCAGTTGCGAAACACAGACAGTGCCCTGGAGAGCATCTGCTTTTGAATTCTTACCTCGCCATAGGGGGGTTAGCCCCATCTTGCTTTTTGAAATGGTAGATTCTGGATGGAGGGTGCTGACTTGGCCCAAAGCTCTTGAGAAGTGTTCATCCACTACTGACCCAATGTCTCCCTGGAAATAAGTGAAAAGGACACAGCGAGAGTTAAGGTACTCCATCTCGGCAGGCTGGTCTTTCTCCTCCTCCTCCTCCTCATCCTCCTCCTCCTCCTCCTCCTCTTGTTTGCTGGGAAGGGTGACTTCCAGAGAGTCCTGCATCTTGCTGTATACCGCTAACTTCTTCTGGGATGAAATAAACAAAACACAGTATCAAAGACAGTTTGTAAGAAAGCATTAACTAGTTAAGTTTTCACTTTAAGAAAAAAGAATCTAAATATTAACATATGTTTGCAAACTGAGTCTTCTTCATCTGTTTTACTCCCATCTTTTTCCTTCCCAAACCAGTTGCCTCCTTCCCACACACACACATAAAAAAGTCTGTGATTCCAAATTTGGCAAACAAACAGAAAAGTTCATTACTAAATGATATATTTCAAAGCAAGATTATTTTTAAATCCAGCTCTACCAAAAGGAGAATGACTTAAAAAAATAGTGACAGATTGATTCCTTGTAGTTTCTC